TCTTAGTCTTGCCTTGTCTGTTTTCCTGGTCTCTGATTCACGCCACATATCTTGGATTAACCCTTTGCTTGCTGTTTCTGACTCTGTTTGCTGGACCTTTGCCTTCTACCTGGATTTATCTCTTGCCTTGCCTTCGATATACCTATTATTTGCCATTGCCTGACCCATGCCTGTTAAAACCACGTCTCTTAATAAAAGCTTGCATATGGATCCGCATGTCTCTTGTCTCATAACAATTATAATGCTATTAGAAGTGTTTTAACTTTTACTTTTTTAATTAGAAAATAAAGACAGAATATATTAGTTATAAATTATGCAAATACTTATTGAAAAGTACCAAAAAATGTGTAAAAAATGTGTAATTAGAAAAAAATATATGGTACTAAGCTATATCGCAATTATCATGCAGCCACCCCATTTATTTTTTTAATTTTACAATGTTTACATGCAGTGTCGCTAAAGCAGCATTTCTTATTTTCATTTGCTTTAAATTGAAGTACTAAAAAAACTAAAACTATAATTACAACTTAATTAAATCTGTATATACACGTTTAAAAATATATATATAAAAATATAAAATCTTCAAAATATTAAACTATAAAAGTATATCAAAAACACTAAAATAACACTGCTCTTTTTAAAACATCACAGGCTGGCATGCTTCATTCTTGTAGTGCGCAAATTTGGCATTAATCTCCAGACACATTAAGCCGTGTTACTCATATGGGAGATGAGGATTCATATCCAACTTGAATTTCCACCCTCTTCTCCAAATCATTTCTCATTTGTCATCTCTTTGCTTTCAATAAAATGGCCAAAAAAAACTTATTTACAAAATGTATATTGATTCTTCTGCGAACATATCCAATAAATCATGTGTTAGGAAGCTTTCATAACAGGAAAGCAAAGGCGCGCTCAGCAAGCGGCACCGGAACACAGCGATGCCAGGTTTGCCTCGCCGCGCTGCCAAGAGAAAAACCCATGTCACTTGGAATTCATCAGCAGCTGCTGAGCACGAGAGGCATCACTAGCCCACGGAAACACTCCACAAATTGACGTGAAGTAAAAAGAAACCGAGGCGTTTTAGCTCCACAATGCAATGTGCTCCTCGAAGGCGTTTTACAGCACATGTGCGAGTATGTGTCTGTGTGCATGTCCACTGCAAAAGGCCCAACGACCTGGAAAAATGAATTCCAACAAAGCCAAAAAAACAGGAAACAGGTGATAAGACTGATCTAACTTTAGGAGGACAAAAAAGGAAGGCTATGTCAATTATCTCAATGCATATTGTGCATACACACCACTTAACCCTTAACCCCATAAATTTAATGCATTTTTGTACTTATTTTACAGTTTTTTTCGGGATCTACTGGGACAGTGATAAAGATCTACCAGTCGATCGCGATCGACGGGTTGGCGACCACTGCTGTAAAGCCTACTGTATCATATTTGATATGCAAATTTCTAAGGCCTTTAACGGGAGTAAAACTTTGCTGAACAAAACTTCTGTAGCCTGGTAGTTCACTTCTTTTTAGCTAGTAAAAGGTCTTTTAGTATAACTGTGAAAACATCCACCTTCAGCTTGTCTTTTTGCTGTGAAATCTGATTTTTATATAGTAAATGTGAGAATAACTTTGATATTGTTAGTAATATTTCAAGATGAACACTTACTGACTGAAGCAACTTTGGTTTACGTGATTATTACATTTCTATGTTCATGTTCAAATGCTAGTCTCAAATATGATTATCAGGCTTTTGAGTAAGGTTTATTTGTTCATCTCTCAATAATCATTGCATTAACATGTTTTGATCATAAAACTAAACATTTAAATATAATCTTACTAAGACATTACTGGGAGATATAGAGTGACCACTGATATTTATATAAATTTTATGTAAGCTATAATGTTATAAAGATCTCACTGATTAATATTACATGCTATCAGAATTGCATCGTTCTTTATGGTCATCTAAATATCAACAATGAATTTTTGCTCATTTGGGCCTCAGAATAAAACCAAGGTGTTTCC